ATGCAAGGATGGTTCAACATTAGAAAATCAATCAATGTAATCCACCATATAAATAAAATAAAAGAATCACATGATCATCTCAATTGACACAGAAAAGGCATTCACCAAAGTCCAACACACATTCCTGATAAAAACTCTCAATAAAATAGGTATAGAAGGGAAATTCCTCAAGAAAAAAAAAAAAATGTTCTCCAGGCTACTTTGGGATGCTTGCAAATGCCTGGTCTAGGAGATCCTAAACAGGATACCTCAGTATCAACTCTTGCTCATTGTCATGGAGTTTGAGCTATGCATCCCCAACCTGCTCTCAAAGCTAGCCTCTGCATTCCTGAAATTCTAACTATGCCTTGTGAAACCGAAACCAAAAACCAAACCCACTGCCATCAAGTCAATTCTGACTCATAGCAACCCTAGGACAGAGTAGAACTTCCCCACAGGGTTTCCAAGGAGCAGCTAATGAATTGGAACTGCCAACATTTTGGTTAGCAGCCAAGCTCTTAACCACTGAGCCACCAGAGTTCCATGCCTTGTGAAAGTCATCTTATATTTTTTATTATACCAAATAGCCAACCAATAACAAAATCTTCCTGTTTTTCCTTCAAAATGCCTCCTTATCCCCACTCCCTTTTTATTCTGCCACCACAGATATGGTTCTTCCCCTACTGCGACATAGGCCCTCCACCTTGAAGGCACTATTAAATTTTGCAGCTATGTTTTGAGGTGGGATCTTCTTCTGGTTTCATGGAGGCTGACCTCACCCTGGTAGTTTCCAGGACCATAATGAACCAGATATTTTCCTTAAGACACACAGGACAAAATTATTTTTCTTATATATTCTTGTTTCCTAGTTTATCCTTTTGCTATTCTTTTCTCGTTTGAAATCAGTGTGTTATATCCAACTGATGTCTTCTCATTGGCTCTTTCTCATGTTTGAAACGTGCTTCTTGACGTGCCTGGCTCACCAAGAACTCTCGCCTGACTAAAGAAATTCCCAATATCAATCTTCTCCAAGAATTGTTTAAAAATAAGAGGTAAAATTCCCCCAAATCCACTGCAGATAAATGTATTACGTTTTCTCTTCAGCCAATTCACAGTATAATGATACAATCTTTTTTATCTTATGAATTTATTATTATGTTTACACTGTGATGACTTATGGTCTTCGGATTTTGTTTTTTAAATGTATGTTTCTTTGAGATTTTAGTATGCCTTAAACAGGAAGACCATTGCAGACAGCCCAGGACAAAGTATATGTCAATACTTAATTTTTTTTATATGGTATAAGGACAAAACCTACCTGCCCATGCTTTTGCTGAGGGGCTGTTCCACGAGGTATTTCAGGATGTGATGGGGCCTGGAGATCAGCTCCTCGAGTTTTTGGACGTACTGCATCAGAGACCAGACTAGAAGAAATAGCTAGAGATTTGGGCCGGACAGCTCCAGCACCCCTCCCCAGTGGGGAGCCTTGGTCACCTCTTCTGATTGTAGCTTCATCTTCTCCTTCAGAGTCCACAATAAAGACATATTCAGCTTTGAAGAGGTCACTTTGCTGCATTCCTTGAGGTTCGTTGGGTTTAAATCCTCTTCCTTGTGAACTCTTTCCACTGATTTCTAAAGGATAAGTCAATGTCCCTTGGTCTCTCTCTTGTTGGCTCCCAGCATTCAAGGTCAGGTAGTCATTAGAATTGGACTGAAAAAGATGTGAAGAGAGAAAAGTATTGACGTGGGTTTGATAAATGCTTCTTTTTGTATGTTCACTGAAAAGCTTAATTTGATTATAATCTCCAAGGACAAGACTTTTTAAAACTATATTGAAAACATCAGGTTGGCCTAGAAGAGCTTGGGTGAAAGTTAATTATTTCCTTTTACTAGCCCACCTCTTTGTCCTGGTCCAAGTCCCAGCAACTTATGGCTCAAAATCAATGTCAACAAGCCAATCTAACTGCCTCCAAATAAACCATGGTATGATTTTTTTAAATAAAATTTTAAAAATAACAGTGTTTTCTATAAAGACATGGCCTCAAGTAGGCAATTTCATGAAGCAAATGGGAATTGGTCCAGGGTTCATTTTCTGGGCAAGCAACCTGAATATTCTTTACAAACCAGCAGAGGAAGGAAGGAAATACCATTGAAAGGTTTTAAAATTGTATAAATCCTACTAAAAGTCCAAGAGGAAAAACAAAACTGAATAAAATGCACAGATATTCAGGCAATACAATCTAAGCTAAATGGGAAGAAATCATGAATAGGACACTTAAAAAAAAGTAGGCATTTTTTAGTACAAAGTATTTTTTGCTATGTTATTTTAGTTCAAATTCATAATTCTTAAATCTTTCTCATCCAATTTTCTACTAATAAACAGAAAGTTTACAAGACCAGGACTAACCTAGCCTTATCCAGCTACCAAAACCTCCTTTTCTAAAACAGTAGCAGTGGTGGACACTAGAATTGTGTTTAAAAGACCCAATGTCAATCTCCTGGTTTTGATAACTATGATATGGTTACTATTGTTCCTTTCTTTGCAACTTTTTTTAAGTCTAAAATTATTTCAAAATAAAGAATAAAATAAAACACTAAATAAACAATTTCAACTGTGGCGCTCAATTTGATATGCACCAATACGTGTGTTTGTGTTATGTGTGTGAAGATAGAACAGAAATCAAACCATTGATTAGCTGTAACTAAACTGATTGGATACACCCATTCCACACTTTTCAGCTGCTGATAATGATATAGTCAAGATAAAACACAAACTGCCTGTAATAGTATTTCTCTGTCAATGGTTATTTCACGTATTAAATTATAATATTATATATTAACAGAAACCCAGATTGGTAAAAAGTTTAAATTTAAAGTTGTTGTGTGCCGTCAAGTCAATTCCGACTCGTAGCAACCCTACAGGACAGAGTAGAACTGCCCCATAGGGTTTCCTGGGCTGTAACCTTTACGTGAGCAGATCACCGGGTCTTTTCTCCCAAGGAGCTGCAGGTAGGTTCAAATCGCCAACTTTTCAGTTAGCACTGAGCAATTAACCCCTGTGCCACCAGGGCTCCTTAAATTGAAAGTATAAGGATTCAAACAGATGGCTTATGACAGAGAGTAGCAAAGTAAGTTAAAAAGCTGGTAAACATTGAACTAGTTTTGCAAACATCAAGACTAAACTATCTCCCTTCCCCACGCTCCATTGTTTTCTATTCCTTTGCTCTGTTGTATTTTTTCACAGCATTTATCACTCCTGAGATTTTGCCATATACTTTTCATTTTCTGCCTCCCCAATACCAAATAAGTCATATGAGAAAATTTCTTATTCACATCTAAGTCCACAGCACCAAGCACATAATGTATGTTCAGTAAATAGCTGTTAAACATGTAATTGAACAAGTGATTGTTTAGCTTATTATATTATAATATTGATCTGTTTAAAAATAGGAAGAAAAATATTTAACCATTTAAAGATGTGGTTGTGAATATATCATTGCAATCAGGAGATGAATATCATAATCCTAGCAAACTTTGGAGGATTATCATTGCAATCAGGAGATGAATATCATAATCCTAGCAAACTTTGGAGGATTGAACGGAGATAGGTTCATTTATCTACAGTCTCACAGGATTCTTAGGGCCTAAAAATAAAGAATCCTAAGAACATATTGTATGAATTTGAGTACTGTTAGGGAGAAATTTCCTAGATGTACCTTATGTAGTATTCAGGATTTTTCTGAAATAATTTGGTCTCGTTAGTCTTTGGGAGTCCCTGGGTGGTACAAACAGTTATTATGCTCGGCTGCTAACCGAAAGGTTGGCAGTTCGAGTCCACCCAGAGTCACCTTGGAAGAAAGGCCTGGTGAACTACTTCTAAAAAATCAGCCATTGAAAACCCTGCGGAACACAGTTCTACTCTGACACACATGGGGTCACCAAGAGTCAGAATCAACTCAAGGCAACTAGTGGTTTTAGTCTTTGAAATAAGATGGCGGCATTGAAAACTCCAGGATGGGGGATATATTACTACCTTCTAGATAAAATGTTTTTGTATAGATAATATGAATCAGATTATTTTATCTACTCCCAGTTTGCTTAAGAATACCACAAATTCCCTCCAGTCTCACATTATTTATAATAAAACAATATCAAAGTACATTGTAAAGAGAAAAAAATTACCTGTAATTTCATTATTCTAACATAAGTCATTTTCAGGTGTTTTGTATGTTTTTTAATGTCACTTCCAGTTCTGATCTCCTTTTAGATAGGTGTATTCAGGGTATAAATATAATTTTATAGTCTATTTCATCACTTACTATTATAAGGCTAATATTTTCCATGGAATTATATAATCACCATAATTCTAATTTTATCAAGGCGATACATGATCATTTCCTTAACCTTTCTCTAGTTGGTAGAGATTAGGTTGTTTTTATTTTCCCTAAATATTTTCTTACACAACTTTTTTCTTCTTTTGTACGATTTCCTTGGGATATATTTTCAAGAGTTAGATTATTCAAAGGTTATGAATAATCTTAAGAGTATAAATAAGGATTCCCCCCAAAAAATGTACAAACATACAACACTAGCAGCGAAGTCAGAGTATGCCAGTATTTTACAAACACCCCAACATTGGGCATTACATTTTTTTAAATGTTGCTAATGTTTTACATGTAAAATAACACCTCACTGCTTCATCCTATATTTCCTTCCAAGATTAAATTTAAGCATTTTTTAAATTTGCTTTTGTTATCTTAAGATGCATTTGAGATGAGGGGAGGTACCAGGAAGCACAATATGTCACTTGAATGACAAACTACAGGAAGTCAACTCAAAAAGTTTGAGAATAATGCATGAGAAAGAACCTGAAATTTGATAACATTTAAGCTCCTATTATATTTTTAATCAACCATAAGTTTTACAGTCATCGCACCTTAAGCAGAGGAAATGAGCATTCAAACAAATTTCCAAGTCATTGTTTGATATAAAAGAAGAGTAAAAATAATCCTACCCTATTTATAGTTTCTGGATTCTTTTCCCTTGATTCATCAGGAATTTTAACAAGGTATTTAGAGGTGTCAGTCAACTGAGAGTGGGTTGGTAGTCTTCTGACAGTGGGGACAAATGTGAAGATCAGAGGTTTGGCTTCAGACTCACCCGAAGAGACCTATGAAATACGTAATAAATTAGACTTTCAGTCTTGTCAAAGGTTTATCTTGACTTTATTCTCTATATACTATGATACTTATCTCATTTATTTTGATGAATTGCCTACTGTCCTGTGATCATGTGTATAGCTGCAAAAGAAAACAGCTATAAAAACAGACATACTATCAGAACCTTTTTTACAGTAACATTTACCAGAGGAAGCAATAGCACCCCAGGCAGATCCTCTTGTAGGAGATGGCAATAATGAAGCAGGTTGGCAAGATGATAAGATGAAATATTACAGGGCATCTCTACCTCAGTAGGGTCACCACAAAAGCAACATCTGGTCTTCAGTTTCAAAATTAACTTTAATTCGTTTAACCTGGGGTTGCAGTAGTGGTGGGTCAGTGGTAGAATTCTCACCTTCCATGTGGAAGACCGGGGTTCATTTACCAGCCAATGCACCTCAAGTTCAGCCACCACCCATCTTTCAGAGGAAGCTTACGTGTTGCTGTGATAGTGAACAGGTTTCACTGGAGGTTCCAGACTAACACAGACTAGGAAGAAATGCCCAGCCATCTATTTCCAAAAATCAGCCAATAAAAACCCTTGATCACAATGGTCTGATCCTGTTGTGCTTGGTGTCGCCATGAGTCAGAGACAATTCTACGGCAGCTAACAACAACAACAATAACCCTGGTTACTAGTACCAGTTGCCATCAAGTTGACTCCGACTCATGGCGACTCCATGCATGTCAGAGTAGAATTGTGCTCCACAGAGTTTTCAATGGCTGATATTTCAGAAGTCGATCACCAGGTCTTTCTTCCAAGGCACCTCTGGGTTAACTCAGCTCCGGCCTTTCAGTTCGCAATTGAGCGTGTTAACATTTGTAACACCCAGGGACTCCCAACTCTGAGTTAGCAGCCTCAATTTATTGACTCATAATCACCAAACATGCAAGAAATTTTCAATAATATCATTAATAAGAGTGTTTAGACACGGATTTAAAATTGAAGATATGACTTTCTGGCTATCAGAATACAAACAGCTGGTCTTAAGGATATACCTTCTCTTGCATCCATTTTTCATTCATTCGAAAATAATTTAATTAAGTTTTGCTGTGTGGTAGGAGCTTGGGATACACTGTTGTTGCTGTTAGGTGCTGTCGAGTCAGTTCCAACTCATAGTGACCCTACGTACAACAGAACGAAACACTGCCCAGTCCCGCACCATCGTCACAGTCGTTGCTATGTTTGAGACCATTGTTGCAGCCACTGTGTCAATCCACTTCATCAAGAGTCTTCCTCTTTTTCGCTGACCCTCTACTTTACCAAGCATGATGTCCTTCTCCAGGGACTGGTCCCTCCTGATAACGTATCCCAAGTGTGTAAGACGAAGTCTTTCTCTCCTTGTTTATAAAGAGCATTCTGGCTGTACTTCTTGCAAGACAGATTTGTTTGTTCTTCTGACAGCCCATGGTATAGTCAATATTCTTCGCCAACACCATAATTCAAAGGCATCAATTCTTCTTTGATCTTCCTTATTCATTGTTCAGCTTTCCCATGTATATGAGGCGATTGAAAATACCATGGCTTGGATCGGGCACACCTTAGCTCTCAAAGTGACATCTTTGCTCTTTAACACTTTAAAGAGGTGTTTTGCAGCAGATTCGCCCGATGCAATATGTCATTGGATTTCTTGACTGCTGCTTCCGTGGGCGTTAATTGTGGATCCAAGTAAAATTAAATCCTTCACAACTTCAATCTTTTCTCTGTTTAACAGTCAAGGGATAATTCACAATCAAGAGGTTGAAATAAACTCACAAATAAAAGCAGTATTGTGTCAACTTGGACTTTGTCCTACTGAAATAGAGAACCACTAAAGCACTACAGACTAGGAAATGGCATAGTCACATTAGAATTTTAGATAGATAACTCTGGTTTTAAAAGACACAAGCTTAGAGACAGGGACAGAAAGCCAAGAGCAACAGATTGAGGAGTAAATGAGAAGAGAGGAAAAGAAGGTGGTACTGTAGCCTTATTTTTCAAAGAGTTTGTATGAGAAATGAAAAGAGGTTTAGGATTTGCTTAAAAATTGGATGTGGGGTATAAGAGTTAGACAAGAGCCAAGATGAGTACAAAATTTTTAGCCTGAGTAACTGCAAGAAATTAGGTATTATTCACTGAAATGATGAAGACTGCAGTTAAAGCTGGTTTGGGGATAAATGTCAAATTTGATATACCCAATACACATACACATAGAAATATGGATAGGAAAGTCTAGAATTGAAAGTCTGTGCTGGAGATATAATTACTAGGGTTGTTAGCCTATGGGTGATATTTAAAACCATCAGACTAGATGAAATCACCAGGGGAATATGCATAAATAAGAAAAAAAGAAGCCCAAGACTGAACCTTACAGAATCCAACATTAAGTGATCCAGAAACTGAGAAAGAACTGGTGAAGGTGACTCAGAAATGTTAAGAAAAATGAAAAAGCCTGGAGCATCATTGACAGCAATGGAAAAGAGTCCTAACCAAAAATTAATAAAAGTTTCAACATACCATACTGAGCACCCAACACAAACGTAAATCCATGAATTGTAGTGAAGTGATTTACTTAGCTGTTTGATATGCTCTCCGAGAATGCTCAACTGTCTCTTATAGGAACAGAGAAAGTGATTTGTAGCATTTATAAAGTTGATATTTGGAGATGAGTTTGGCAGAAGGATATGAAATTGAGGGTACTGGTGAAAGTAGAGCAAATAATCAACTGTGGAGGGCAGTATGGATAGATAAGGAAGATGGACCCTAGGGTCAAGGGACCAGTAGTCCTTGTGGTTCAGAAAACAGATTTGATCAGATGGTGAGTGTTTGAGAGGACTGCTTGGGGGGGTCACAGTATGATATGTGAAAGTTTAAGTTTTAAAAGTGTGGTAATTCTAGGTGGTTACAAGATCCAGTCTTTGGCCTTTAGACTGAGTATCTGAGATGAAAGGAAAGGAAGAGCACTGAGGTTGAAAAGATCAAGGAACTATGAGACAAGAATGTTGACTGAGTTATCCATGTGAAAATTAAAGAGACACTGGGTGATGACAGAGAGCCTGACAGCGTGGTGGTGTAGTCTTCAATAAATGTGAGGCTGGAGTCAGAAGGTACAGGCTGGAAGGGCTTCCTGGGACAATCAGAGATTTTCTTTGTGAGCATGAAGTCAAACAAAGAGAAGTGCATATCCTCGTAAGAGATTTCACCCAAGTTTTAGAGGGGCCTAATAAACTCTAGACCACTTATTAGAGGGTATAATTTTCTAATAACTGAAACACCTATGCTTTCTAGAGACAATACATATTCCTTGTTGTTGCTGGATACCATCAACCAATTCTGACTCATAGCAACCTCATGTGACAGAGTAGAACTTCTCCATAGAGAATAACTGAAACACCTATGCTTTCTAGAGAAAGATATGTGTCATTATTCCCTCATTGCAATCATGTCATATTTCCAAGTTGCAGCTTATCATCAGAAAATAATAAATCAACGCTTTACTTTGTAGAAAGGAGCATTAGATTCCTTGTAAGATTTAGGAAGCCCACTACCCTTATCAGCAGTACACAATACAAGGCATTTTCTAGGCAGATTATGTTCTAGGATGGTTTCTTTACATGATCAATCTCATCAATATAATGATGTAACAAAGAGTGGAATTGCTAGATGGTTTTTCTTAAGGAGAGCCATGCCAGGGAATCAGTGAAGGTAGTTCAGATAATCAGTTATCTCATTTGAGAAGAAAAGAAGTCCTTTAGAAGTCAAGGAACAGAGATGAAATTCTGACCTTGTCTCCAGGCTCTGTAGACCTGCGCTTACCTCTCCAAATGATGACTATAGGTCTTCTAGAGTTCTCTCCAAAGAAAATTTAAATACTGTATGAAGGTGTGTCTTAGTCATCTAGAGCTGTTCTAACAGAAATACCACAAGTGGGTGGCTTTAACAAAGAGAAGTTTATTCTCTCACAGTCCAGCAAACTACAAGTCCAAAGTCAGGGACAGCTCCAAGGGACCTCTTTCTCTGTCGGTGTTGGAGAAAGGTCCGTGTCATCAATCTCCCCTTGGTCTGGGAGCTTCTCTGTGCAGCAACCTCAGGTCCAAAGGATGCGTTCTACTCCTGGCACTGCTTTCTTGGTGGTATGAGGTTTCCTTGTGTCTCTGCTCACTTCTCTCTTTTATATCTCAAAAGAAATTGGCTTAAGACACTATCCAATCTTGTATACCTCATCAGTATGACTGCCGCTAATCCATTTTATTAGATCATAGGGATTCAACTTACAACACATAAGGAAATCACATCAGATTGCAAAATGGTACACAATTATACAATACCGGGAATCATGACCCAGCCAAGTTGACAGATATTTTGGGGGGACACAATTCAATCCACGACAGATGGACTTCAGTACAAGTGCCCCATGGTTATGTTAATATAACCATGATTAACAATAAGTGTCTTGCCTTCTAAAACATATACAATGATTAAGATTTACTTCTTCAAAAACCTTGCACAACTTGTATAATTCAATGACACAAATCTCTGAAATATAAATAGATCACAATCACTGATATTTCACAAACTGTAGACTTTTTAGAGATGAATAGCTATAACTTTAGTTAATAAAATGGAAAATGAAGTATGAATGAAAACTGACACTTTAATGAATAAGGTGTGCTTTTATAGCAGTGCCACGTGCTGACAATCATGGCAACTAAAAAGAAGCAAAATTATTTCCCTCTACTTTATCATTATATTTTCCTACAGAAACATTTGTATCCTACCTAAAATTTCTTCACCAGTGCAAGGGAACAATTTCAGATTTTAGTTGAGCCAATACATGATGTCAGTCAGGAATAAAACAAAAACAAAATCTAACAGAACTAAAGACTTCTTCATCTTCCTGCTGGAGAACAAGATCAGGAATGAATTCCCGTCCACCCACGCATGTCTTAAGAAGAACAATAACAGAAGGAGCAATAGTTTGATATTCGCTTTTAAACAAGTGGTACCGGTACGGTACCGTGTTAGCTGGGGCTCTTATTGCTTTTACCTAGCTTCCTCTTATCTTAGCAAGGATCTAATCATTTGCACAGAATTTCAGTTGGAGGAGGATTTGAATTTACACTGGCCCCACTACGCAACATTCAGATGAAGAGTCACATGTTAGCAAGTAGGCTGTCGAATCCCTTGCTCAGGAAAGAAAGAATATTTGCTATTTACTGCATACTGTGGCCAAGTTCCAATGGAGCCCAGAAATGAATTGCTATGGTGATGAAAAATCATTTTCTACACAAAGCAGAAACAGATGCATGTTAATAGCATTGCACTAGTTAAATGCCATTTAACACTTTCAATTTTCAATGCCGATTAAACATCTTAGCTCCAATCCTTGGGAAACTATTTTAATAATAGAAATTAGAGCTGAAAGGATTAAAATCTTTTCCTCAATAAGATTTGTAGCACTCGAAACCTCTAAAACCGTCACCTTTTCACCGGACAGCCTAAAAATACATTGAGAAATTCTTTTTTCCCCATGCCAGGCAGGCTAACAGCTCCTTTGCTCAGTTTTGGGCTGTCATGCCTTCCTCTCTTACATTTCCTTAGAAGTTGTCTCCCTTCTGATGTTGACACCCACACTCACAGATGGCCACTAGCCTCCTGTTGAAGAGAGGCATTGCAGGGTATCTCAGCATGAACACTATGCCAAGGGCAGTCTTGACCAATTTCTTTGGTGGTTCCCTAAGCAATTTTTTTTTTTTTTTTTTTTTTTTGGTCTTTATCAGCTTGTCCGTACTACGAACTGCTAGATAGCATCCCGTTTTGCTACACAGTGAAATTTATCTACACCCGGGAAGCTCTCCCTCAAGCCCTCTTGTAGCAAACACCACTAGCGCAGTGCACTGTCTTTAAAAGTGATTGAAAGTATTAAGGAAAGACTTCCTTTTACCTGGGGTGTGGTCTGAATGCTCCCTGCTAAGTTGCACGGGTTCATTTGGAAGTACTTGTTCCTGCAGTCACTCAGAAGCCCCTGTGCTGGAAGCATTGATTCATCACATAACGGCGTGAGCAAACCAATGACTGAGGTGGGAAGGGAGCCTCTCACTAAAACAACACACACACTCACACAGAAAAAAGCATTTCTAAAAAGAGGTAAAGTAGAATCCTCCCTGGATGGGAGAATTTTGTCAGCTCCAAAGTATAGATTTATGCTTAGACCATTTTTAGACTTGGAACTTCATGAGAGGTCATACTGACTGCTGAAATGGAATCAGTAGAAGTAAAAAATTGCCACCTATGTGTGTTTGCCCTCTTTTCTTTTTATGCATGTACAGTATTCCAATTATATACTCTGTGAAAGAAGAGAGAAGCCAGATTGTGCAGCAATGAGAGGCTGATTGAGGAGCCCTGGCGTCTGCCAATCTCGATGATCAGTCAGTCACATTCCCAGAGAACATTTAGAAGTACAAATACATGCACACAGTGTGTCTAAATAAAGAAAGAGAAACTACACAATGCTCATTTCAAAAAAAAATCAGTAACTTTAATTATCAGTCCTTGGTGTATAAATAGCAAGCAACAATACAGGAACATCTGTAGTGACTGACATTTTGCGACTTAACAGAATTGGCTCTGAAAAAAAGCTTGTAGTCAAATTTTTTGTCAAAATAAAATTCATTCCAAGGTTCCTGGAAGACAGTGAGTGTCTTGACTGCAGACAAAACAAACCTCAAAATTCATGCGTGAAACTGATTGGAGTCTTCAACTTTCAGTATCTCTATTTTCTAAGTATTGATTTTTTTCCAACTATGTGAGGCTCACATTTGTGCTTTGGCAATGAAAGATGTTGTGTCCCAAAGATTAGGTAATAGACCAAAGGCTATGGGAGAGAATGAAGGGTTTATTTTAGGCACCTGGATTGTGCCTTTTAACATTTTTAACATTATCAAAAGCCTGAATTTGTGGAAACATCGTGAGTAAAATAATTCTCGAAAGTGGTCTTAGCAGCACAGTGGGAAAAACTATTCCAAATAACATAATAGATTTTGACCTAGAATATGATCTAAATTTCTGACTATAAAACCAAAAACACAAAAAGAACCAAACCCATTGCCATCAAGTTGCTGAGTGGGTTTTCATCACCAACATTTAGGCTGTAGTCAAGCACTAACCATTTGCACAATGCAGGAACGTTTTGAGAATATAAAATAGGTATGTAGATAACAGATATAAGAAGCAAAAAAAAAAAAAGTTTCACACTGCAGTTTTTCTCAAGCTTTCTTGCACACACAAACCACCTGGAGTTCTTGCTAAAATGTAGACACAGGTTAAGGAGACCTGAGGTGAAGCTTCAGATTGTGCAGTTCCAACAAGCTCTCAGGTGATGGTCATGTTGCTGGTCTGTGACAATTTGAGTAGCAAAGACTTAAAGGAATCTGAGAGTGATGAGATCCCAGCCACCTGGGTAATTCATGGCGTTTGGGCTGCAGTTACAAAGCTGGGGGGACATGGGACTATGAAGGTGGGATGGAATAGCGCTTATTTTAAGCAGAGAGAAAAGATTGAGCAAAGGCACCTATCAAAACAGCAAGAGCAGAAAGCAGCAGGTGCAGTCGCAAAGCACAAGACCCTGGAGTCAGACCACTTACTGGCAATGGGACCGCCAGCTAGTTACAGAACCTCTGCAAGCCTCAGTCCTCTCACCTGTGAGATGTGGATAACAATAGTGCTTATTTCACAGGGTTCTTGGGAGTATTACAATTGAACGCAGCATGTAAAGCCCTTAGCCCTGCACCAGGCAAATACTCAATATGTGTTATTCCTGTTGGTACTGTTGCTATTCAGTTTGGTAAATAATATAAATGAGAATAAAGGCAAATAAGACTAGACAATCAGGTTAAGTCTAGGTCATCAAAGATCTTGAATTAAGATATTTTAACTTTTTTCTGTGGGCAGTAGGGATGCATATACATGTGTGTATAAACCAAAAAAACAAACAAACCCACTGCTGTCAAGTTGATTCCAACGCATAGCAACCCTACAGGACAGAGTAGAACTGTCCCATAGGGTTTCCAAGGCTGTAATCTTTATGGAAGCAAACTGCCAGATCTTTCTCCCACAGAGCACCTGATGAGTTCAAAGCACTGACATTTTGGTTAGCAGCCAAGAGCTTTAACCACTGAGCCACCAGGGCTCTCTATGTGCATACAGACACAAGCATTCAATTATCAACGGGTAGCATAAAAAAAATCTTAGCACACTTCTCTCAAAGTTCTAACATGTGGCTCTCTGAGGGGAACTGGGGATCTAGTTCTTTGTCAATAGTTCAATCACTCTCTTCTAAGTGGCTTCAAACAATTATGAAGCTTCTCTCCTGTATCTTATTCTATTCTTCCTCCTCTGTTCTTTCCTTTCTCTCATTTCCTCTCCCAAACATCAAGTACTATTTAGGCAGGTTGGCACAATCAAATTTCAAAGAGAAAATACTTTCGCTCCTACCATTTACCCTGCTCAAATTCTTTCTTGAATCAGTTTATTGCATGAAAAGCAATTAAATTAATCCATTATTTTGCTATTTTGCTCTGTCTTATTTTGCCACTTTTCCTTAATCATTTTCTTTCCCTTGATTTATTGATTAATAAATATGACTGTTACAAATTATTTCTTAAATTGATAGGAGAAGTCAAAATTTTGACTTTAAAAAAAAAAAAACACACGTCATGGCCATGCATTACAACAGCATGATTCAGCCATCTGGTTAGTAACTACATATAGCCTCAAAGAGCATACATATTTAGGACAATTTCTATAGATAACACTCTCATTTAAATAGAAAGTGATGGCACTTGGTCAAAATAACTAGCCCCAGTCCTGTAATTTACTTAAACTAGAATGGGGGTGGGGGACTCTATCCTCCATTACAACCACTTTTCCTGTAGATAAAAAGAACTATCTTCCCTAGGGTCTGCCTGAGACCCTTAAGCATTTTATAAACACAAACTGTTTTAATCTCACTAAGAAACACAAAACTACTCTGTCGAATAATCTTTTTTCCGAAAGAAAATAAAGTTTGTCAAAATTTACAACAGACAAATACAATCCAAAATTCTCTTTAAAATCTGACATTATTGATGGCTGAAGCCAGCATCCTTCACTCTTTTTTACTAAACAAACATTATTACTGCAATACCTTCAAGCCAAAAGACTCTTACGATATTGCTTTCAAAACAGATAATATAGAACAAATAGTCTCTCTCCCTGACATGGGAAACAAATTTGAGAAAAAAATAGGTTAGTCCATAGAAGTTTGCCAAAAAGCATGTAAGTGATTAAACAGATCCAGCTGCCAAGGCTATTCAGAAATCCATTTGTCTGTTCATGTACCCTGTGTTGATAAAGAAGCTACCAGATATCCCCTTTATTTATCTTAATAAACATCTGTTGAGCACCAGGCATTATTTGAAGCTCTGAAAGACATCAAGATAAAGAAGACTTGGACCCTATTCTCAACACAGTTTATAGTCTCATGAAGAAAACACCATCAGAGGGACTCCAGTGATGAGTGAAGTTAGGGGAGAGTGAGAGGGGACGTGCTGAGCGTAAGCTGCAGGAAGAAGTGGTCTCAGGTTGTTCCCAGGGATATTTCACCCTTAGGTTTCACACTCTTAGGTTCTGTTTCTGGTAATAGACATTAGGACATTTCTCATTCTATGGTCATTTTCTTCTGAAGATGGGAGTTTGGATCCTTGTCTCCTGGGTAATGAATGACTCGAGGGATCCCAATCAGGAATATCACAATTCACAGACTCAGAACTGGGTATACCTTCACATCTCATCAAAGGTGGGTGAGGTTCCATCTCGCATAAGTTTAACTTCATCTGTATTGGACTCTCTGGCTTCTACTTCTGTTATACTGCATATAGATTCTCTTATCTTTAGGATATAGCCACCTAGTCAAAAAATATGTTAGTAGCCCTCTTTAATTAAAGTAAACCAGAAGCTTCAAAATACTGAAGAAAATCTAGGACCTAAGTCAGACAGTTTGTTTGACATAATTAGATATTCAGAAGAAATGAATAAGCCCTAAACATGATAGAATTTGAAAGAGGAACATGGACAACAATAAGAAACATTTGTCCATCAGGAACAACTGTTTGTGGGTCACTCCCTCCTTGTTGGATTACTGTCTTAGCTTGGCTTCTGCTACACCATCTCTTCTTGGTCCTCTTCCTATCCCTCGGACACTCCTTGTCAGTCTGTTTTGTGCCATCTGACTCCTAAGCTTTAAAGTACCCCGAGTCCACCTTAGGTAATCTCATCCAATTCCACAGCTTTAAATAGCATTTACAAGCCAATGAGTCCCACATTTATATCCCCAGTCTGAATTTCTCCCCTGGATAATATACTCATGCATCCAAATGACACCTCCACTTAGATATCTCATAGACATTTCAAACTTAAAACTTCTAAAACTGAATTATTTGATGATTTCTCCTGACACTATTCCTCACTCCACTTCCCAAACTTTTCCCACCTCAGCATGTAATATCTACATAATTTTAGTTGCTTAGGTCAAAAATTGTGAGCTTATATTGGTTTTGGGGTTTTTTTTTTTTGTTTTGTTTTGATTTGGTTTGGTTTTTGTTTTTCATAATCCCTCTTCAATACATCAGTGTATCCTGTTGACTCTCCCTTCAGAAATATCCAGAAAATGAACGTATATTACGACCTCTATTCCTTTGTGTGTGTGTGTGTGCTTTAGCTGAAAGTATACAGAAGAAATAGTTTGTCATTAAACAGTACACATATTGTTTTATGACAATGGTTAACAAGCCCACGACACATCAACACTGTCCCTTCTCGACCTTGGGTTCCCTATTACCAGCTTTCCTGTCCCCTCCTACCTTCTAGTCCTTGTCCCTGGATTGTTGTGCCCATTAGTCTTGTTTTGTTTTATGGGGCTGTCTAATCTTGGGAGTGAACCTCAGGAGTGACTTCATTACTGAGCTAAAAGGGTGTCCGGGGGCCATACTCTAGGGGTTTCTCCAGTCTCTGT